AAATTAATCATTTTTTAATGTAGAAAAAGAATTTTTCATAAAATTAATGAACCTTAAATTGCTGTTATTATGAAATAATTCAAATGGCATAATGATTTAAATCAGGTGTCCAGCTTTTACAGATACATGTTACTTATGGATCCAGCTACCTAAAATGCATGCAAAAAAGAAACAAAAAAGTAGGTAGTAATTTTAGTGACTACAACTCATTTATCTTCATGGGTCCAGCTAGTGATTACTAATAACAAAGAAAAAACTGTGTTATTGCTTGTACAGAGCTTATTATGGTAATCAGTAACAGACAGATTAAATTTGAAGTAAAAATTAAATATTTTGTGCTTCACCAAATGGCAACAGACTGGTGAGTAGAAAATCATTCCTTTCAAATTGCTGAGTCTCTGATTGTATTGGAAACATATACATACTATGCTTTGCACAGTGACAACTCACTGCTTTTAACTTTCTCCCTGATTCATCTAAGTTACTTTGGGATGAAAAAACTACCAATAACGAATTATCTGAGTACACTCGTGTCCTTAAATGCTTCGCATATGACCAGCCGGAGCATTAGCAGAAAATACCTCTAGATTTCACTACAAAGCATATTTTCTTTCCCTCTATCAAAACAATTGCTAGCAATCAGTGGTACAAAAGATGTAATCACAGGAATTTTCCACTTCAGGAAGTTTTACTGAAGGAAAAAAAATCTTCCGATGTGTAGAGGCTGAAAAAGGATTACTTTTTTGTCCATTTGAACGATCACATGTATTTCTTTCTTTGGACTACAAATGACAAATGTTCAAGACATTATAAATATTATAAAATGAATTACTATGAACTCAAGAATCACATGCTTTTAAATAGTAAAAAAATTCGAAAATCTATCTTTCTGAAACTTGCTATTTGAGATACAACTTATGATTTCATTATAATGAAAACTAAATGTGCTATAGGCATTCATCAAAACACAATTACTAATAACATTATAAAACTTTCTGTACAGAATATTTCCATAACATTTCAAGATGCCATCTTCATAGTGTTGCATAAATAAACATATTCTTCCTAGATATCAACTGTTCTGTTTATTATTTTTGTTTTGGAACATATTTTGTAATTTTTATGGAACTAATAAGAATATATATATATATATATATACCTAATATATAACCTTATAAGAATATATATACATATATTTATATACCTAGTAAAGCTTGAACAATTTTGTAATAAATAGCATGCTTACAGAATGATATAGGTTATTTTTCCAGCCCTTTCTGGATTTTAAAACATTTGTTTCCCTTTTTTAAACCTTGAAATTACCAGCTTTTGCAAAGCAATGAGTATTTACTTTAAAATGAATTTTGAAACAGCTTCTTCTACTTTTTTTTTAATATTCTATTATTTTTATTAACATATATATTCATCAAATATAAAAATTATTACCAATTTTAATTTGTACTGATATAAAAATCAATTATTAAAGCAAAATTCTCAATTCATGGGATATATTACAGCATCTTGATCTGAATCCACGTATACTGTGCCTTGATTTTCCTGCATATATATATAAATTAATGCAACTGAAAAAGAAATCCTAAAATTCAGTTTTATTTTTTGACCATGTTAATTTTTCAAAATATATTTTCAAAACTTAATTATCATCTCTAATTTTCAGAAATTAATTATCATTGCTGTACGGACTCTAATAGGATCTTTTGTCGCACCTACCATACAAACCCTGACATCACTGCTTTGGTTTTCTACCTTTATCACACCTGCAGCTACATCTTGCTGGCACTATCTTCCATTCTGCAAGGGACGTGCGAAATGAGGCTGATCTTTTTTTTGACTCATGGCTACCAAGTTTCTGGGCCGAAGGTTTTGAGAAACTACAAAACCTTGGCAGAAAATCATAAATTTGGGTACCGATACTCACACTAAAGGTACTGCTTTCGTGTTTTTTTCCCCTAACTTTATTAAGAAATATTTTTTTGGCAGAAAAGTTGCAGAAATATTTTAGTTAATAAACAAAATATATGTTGCTAGATGGTCTAATATAACCAAAGAAAGAATAATCTGTATATATATATATATATATATATATAATGTTGTATGAACTTAAATCCATTTAGTGCGAATACAAGTTATTATTACTTGCGCAATTGCTGCAAAAGTTAGTTAATAATAATTTATTTCCTAAACAGTATTGATTAATTGATTATATTATCTCCTAAGTTTAATTAAAGTAGAATTATTTTTTTAAAAGTGTGCATCCATACTGGTAAGTTATATTTTGAAAGATGTTTTGAAGTAATTTGAAAGCAAAATGTTAATAATGTTTTAACGGAGACTGGAGTTAAATCATCACGAAGAATAATATTACAATTGTAAAAGGAAAAATTAAAATTAAAACATGTAATTATTGTCATTGATCGGAAATTAGTTGACTTTTCAAGGGGAACAAACCAACTCCCGTTCAATGAACAATAATTGATAAAAATACATAAATATGAAAGTGTTTCGTCTTTACTCGAGTTATAAGTTAAAGCCAAACCGGCAATTCTAGTCAGGCCAAATATTTCCGCGAATAGTTGCTACTCAAAGAACTTATTCTCATGAAGCATTTTAGTCAATTCAATTTGGAGTAAAAATCAATTACTGTAGAGAAATCCTGTAAAACTCGAGTAACCGTCCCCGACACTATCATCTTTATGTATTTGAGTACTATATTATTTGTAGAAATTAAAATTAAACATTGGAAAATGTCATTATGAAATCGAAATCAAAGTAAAGTTGAAATAAACATAGAAGATTATAAAAAAGATAAATAATGCAAACTTTGTAAAAAACAAATTAAAGAAAACATAAAAATAATATATAAAGTAATAATATAGAAAATAATATAAATAAGATCAGTGAATGTACATGAAGATATAAAGGCCAGAAAGGTATTAAGTAACTTACATTCTTTCTAGTGGGGAGAGTTGGGAGTTGGCAAAGTGTTCTTTTCGTGTCTGACTCAGAAGTGTAGGGTGTCCGAAAATTCTTAGCGGCAGTAGGGGCTTTGAATAATATCAGTCGGTAAGACTTGGGTGAAGTAATTTATGGTAGTGGGTGGGACTTGGAATTCTTGAGGGATGTATTTTGTGGAGTTCTTATCTGAGAGAGACCGTCTGTTAAGATTTTTTCGAAAATACTAGTGAATGGAAATTAATTAATTTCTGGCTAATTGTCAGCAATGACACGACAATTAGTAGACAGTCTAAAGGCAGGAAATAGGCCCATTTTTTTAGTAACAGTATAGTAACAGTATATGTCTCAAACAATTAGCTTTTTACAATATATACAGCTTTTTACAATAATTACACTATATACAAATCTTTCAACTGACAGTCATCCAACTTATACCGCCTTCTCAGGTTTAGGAATAAATTATCATATCCCTATCAGTTAAATGATTTAGAGTGAGTATTTAACGCCTGCTCTTTTAAGGCAATGGTTGATAAATTGAAAGGGAATTAGATTATTTTGAGAATTTGATAAGGATCAAAATTTCGCGTTGTGTTGTAAATCTATTGTATCTGTGCATATAGTTTTAATTCGTTGTATTTGATTAATTATAGTATTGTTAATTACTTTTTTGGATATGTTG